GGGGACACATCTCTCCTTTGTTCCCCTGCCCTGAACAGGAAGGCGCGTTCAGCGCCGCAGGCCAGTGTGGGCTCGTTGCCAGGTAACGGTGTGGGCTCCTGGGCCAGGCTGCTACAGGGAGGCCCCGTGTGAAGCAGGGACAGAGGGGGGCCCCTCGCACAGTGCTGCAGCGCCTGCGGGCCAGGGACACGGCGCAACTGCCGGCTCCCTCCAGGGGCAGGAACAGCCCCCACCTAAATCCCCCACTTACCTACAGCGCGTCTCCCGGACCTGCTCCCGGGCTGCAAATAGCGCCCCCTCCCCCGTAAGAAATCCTCCCCCCACCCAGCCTATTGCCCCTCCCACCTTCTACCTGCCCTTGCCCCCTCCTGATCCTATTGCCCCTCCCACCTTCTACCACCTACCTACCCTGCCCCCTTTGAGCCTATTGCCCCTTCTGCTTTCTACCCACCTACCTACCCTGCCCCCTTTGAGCCTATTGCCCCTCCTTCCTACCCACCTGCTCCCAACTCCTTTGAGCCTATTGCCCCTCCTGCCTTCTACCTACTTACCCACCCCCCGCCCCCTCTGGAACCTGCCTACCCCAATCCCTTCCAGAGCCTATTGCCACTTCTGCTACTTACCTATCCTTGCTCTTTCTGGAGTCTACTGCCCCTGTTGCCTCCATCTGCCCCCACCTCCTCCGGAGCCTATTGCCCTTCCCACCTAATCTGTTCCCAGCCCCTTTGGCGGCTATTGCCCCCCTCACTCCACCTGTCTGTCCCTGCCCCCTCTGGAGCCCATTGTCCCTGCCACTTCCCATCTGTCTGCCTCTGCCCCCCTAGAGCCTATTGTCCCTCCTACTTTCCATCTGTCTGACCCTAGTCTCCCAGAGCTTATTACTCCCTTCAGTCAGACCAAAAGCTCCCTGCCTTCCAGTATTTCATCTACTTGCCCTCATCTCTCTCCAGAGCAAGCATCTCCCTGCCTGTTCAGCATCCCTAATACTTACACTCAATCTTCCCAAGTAATATCCTCCAGCTTCCCTTCTCTCCTTCTCCCCCCACACTTCCAGATCCTTCCTGTTTCCTATCCACTTTAGCAGATTCCCCCTGCAAGGACAGACCTTCCTCCCATCTTTCCTAATCCATGCAATCTTCTACCTCTTCTTCAAACACATCCTCGAATCACTGTTTCCCTCCCACTTTTCCACCGCCATGTCCAGGCTTCTCATTACAGCCCACCATTGCTCTAGTATATTTTATCAGTCTGTTAAACTTTAATTTAAATGACTTGATTATCCTCCTCCCATCTGGAAAGAGAAAGATGAAGCAATTTAGGAGTGACTTGGATAATGTGGCAGCTTCTTTGAATTCCAGATCCCTGCTGATCTGGGGATCTGGAATTTTCTCCCCTTTCCTTTAGTAGAGGAGTAAAATGGTCCAGGGAAATAAGCCTGGGATTTCTGTGTGCCTGAGTCTGCTAATGACTGGCTGGTAACTTTAGGGAAGTAACTTCACCTCTCTGGGGTTAATAATACTTTCCTAAATCATAAGGGTGTTGAGCCAATTACTCAATGTTTGCACAACACTCCTAAAATATAAAATGTTGTGTAAGTGTTAAGAGACCTATGTAATTGAAAACAATTGCTTGGTGATAGCCTGAAAGTAATCTAAATTAGCATTATGTGAGGTCCTGTTTAAACACTCTAAAGAAATTACAGTACCTTTTTCCTGGATTTTTCTTTTAAGATGACAAAGAGAACTTAAAAGAGTGAAAGAATCTGAAACAGGGATGACTAAAGTCCCAATCTTTCTTAGCCAATCCTAGTGTGTGAACCCTAATACAGAGAGGGCAAGAGCAATATTTCCTGTAAGTTGTGTGCTTCTGCAGCCATGCAGGAGAGATTAGGTGTTTGTTCTACTTGTGGTGCGCTTTCACATATGCCCAGGTGCATATAAAATTATTCTGCACCCAGTTGGAAAAAAATCCACACATGGATGGAAAAGATTACAGAGAACATTGGTCAACAGGTTCCACCTGGGCAGAGATTGGCTCATGTGGCCAGATCTCAGGATGAGCAGTGGGGAAAAGTAGTATGGTTTATTTAAGGTACAGGACATCTTGGTTTTTGTGTTTAGCTCTGGCATAGACTTCTCGGGTGACATTGGACAAGTTACTTGCGCCCTCACTTTTTAAATAAGCCATTGATTTATGACAGTTGGGTCTTGATTTTTTCAAAGGTGCTAGGAACCTCTCATTTCTGTATACTTGCTACTGCTATAAATATAACTTCTGAAATGTGGACTCAGGTTGGGTACCCAAAACAATTTATTTTGGCAGAAAATTCTGCTTTATCACAAACTCTATGTAAGCCAACATTTTTACTTTTAAATTTCAGATCATCCTTTTGTGGGTTAATGACAGAGAAAATTACCAGGAATCAAACCAAAACTTCCCAATGATTAATTTCACGTTCACTGGCTAACAACTTTCCCAGATGGAACTAGACACATCAATCAATAGCACTTTTACTAAAAAGCCTCCTGAAGATGCTGCAGAGAGTTGCAGAAAAAGGTGAATTTGAATATTAGACTCAACTTGCATATTAAGTACATGGTAACACATTCCTATTGTCCTTTCAGATTGCTATGAACTCACCTTGAACAAGTATAATTTAACAATGAACCTAATATATTTCTGAGATCTATATAAAACAACTAACTGTGTAACAGTGAATGAACATATTTTATCTTGATAATGATGACATTTTAAACACAGAATTAAAAAATAGTAAACTCTTAGATATGCAAACTGGCTGAATCATAACACTGTAGTTTGCGGTCTTCATGCAACCTCAGTTTGGCTCCTTTTTCTAGTCTTGGATTCTGCAGGGAAGCAGTGGATGAGAAGTTATTGAGCTTCTGAAAGTAAGGAAAATTATTTCTCTGCAATGTCCCTTTTGGCTGCTTACCTATAGCTTCAGATCCTTCTACTTCCATTCTACCCTTGTTGGTCAGAAGTGTTAGAAGACTTCCAAGATATGAATGTGGGCTTCTTATAGGAATCATTAACCATTAATAGAGCTGAAAAAATTAATGACAAAAATCTAAGGAGAAGGCTCCATTTACCAGGGGACAATTTGCTTCTGGAGTTCCCTGCCAGACTTTGGGTGTCAATAAATTCAAAAGTATTATTTAAATTACCCATTGTTATAACCTAATTCTATGTTGTTGTTGTTGTCAAGATTATCTTTTCTAGATTATATAAATATATCAGAAGATGACCACAAATTAAGAGAGACCGTGAAAGTGTACGTATGTATTATATATGGGATGGGATGGGATGGGATGGTTCCCTGATGAAATATAAGACCTTTTTAGAACACTTGAACATCCATTCTCTTCTGAGGGAGCTTTGGGTACTAAATGTTCTTAAAATTGGGCCTAGAGCACTTTACTAGAACTAGAGTGGAGTCTTCAGTTTAATATTTGGTATCTCCACCAGCCTGGGATGCTTCAAACGCTCCACACTGTGCGTGGGGCAAGATAAATGAATTATGAACTATAAAATCCAGTCTGATCCTGATCTGTTAAAAGGATGTTGATTCTAAGACAGGGAAACAGAGAGCTTTGTATGGCTAGAACTAAAAGTCACAGAACATCTCCACCGAAAGGGAAATGAGAATAGACATTTGTAGATATAAGGCCAGAAGGGATCACTATGACCCTGTAATGTGATATCCTGCACAACACATGCTGTAGAACGTCCCTAAATTAGTTATTATTTGAACTAGAGCATATCTTTTAGAAAAAAATCCAATCTTGGTTTTAAAATTTTTCTGTGATGGAGAATCTACTACAATCCTTGGTTAAAATATATTTTATTACTGACTGCCACATTTTTATTGCTATCTTTTCAGTTACCCTTTGATCCTGTACAATTGTAAATACTGAAATAACAGATCATTCTCCCTATTGCAGAATTGCAGGAAAAGAAGAAACTGCAAAGGCTGTTTGGTTTCTTACCTTTGGCCTCTACTTGGTTAAAAGCTTTACTCAGCAACGCTTAAATATAGTAGGAGGTAAGAGGCAGCAAAGTTTAGTCAAATAAAAGGAGCTAGAGGAATATATAAATAAAAAGAAAAGCAAAGTCTGACAATATCATGATGGAAAAACATGCTGAAGCATTTGGTTTGTTTATAGGGAATTGCATGGCTAAATACCTGCAAAGCATTTTGTTTAATACAGGTGAAAATTCTCCCTTTCCCATACTTCCACAGGAGAGAGGGAGAGGCCACAGAAGTATGGAAAAGGGAGAATTTTTCTCCAAAACACATGAATAGTGTTTTGCTAGTGTTCAGCTATGCATCTCCCTATAAACATAACAATGCTAGCAGTTGGAATAAACTCTTGAAAATGGACCCATAAATATAAGCTAAGTTTAAATTAAAACTCTATACAGCACCTGTTGAAGATAGAAACCAGCCACCCACCCACTGGTGATTAGTTTGAGGCCTGGGTTTATATGTGATAAGAGCACTTCTCTTTATAAGCATTATGTATAGTAATAATGACAAAAATATCATGTATTTAGAATACTTTTTGGCTGCTTACCTTTAGTTCATAGGCAACTGGTGCCTTCAGGGGAAGGGTGTTCAGGGAATGCCATCCAATGGGTCAGGAAGGGGATATGTGGGGGCACCCCATTTAGCAATTAAAATTTTGGCTGGGACACAGGATACCTCCAGAGTGCTACCAGGAGTCATCTAAGCATTAATTGCTAGTTTAAAGCAATGCCAAATTCAGTGAAACATTTTAAAGCATTAGTCCAGTAGTTATGAACATCATAAAGTTAAATTTGCTCTTCTGTTGTACCAGAAATGCTGCAGTTGTTCATAAATTTTGTTAGAGGACACATGTTAGTTCAGTAACACAATAGGGGTATGATTTACTACAATGGTCACCAACCAGTAGATCAAGATCTACTGGTAGATCTTGGAGCCTCTGAGAAGTAATGCTGACTGGTTTGGCCAAGAGGCTATCAAGTGCTGGCACTTCAGCTACCCTTTCACCCACTGCTGCACAGCTCCTGCTCTCTGCCTTGGAACTGTCCCCTCATTCCTTGTGGAACAGAGCAGGGAAGGGAGAGGAGGATGTTGATGTAAAGGTGCTCCCTCCCATCCTGTATTCTATCTCCACAGAACGGGTCGGGGGGGGAGGGGGTAAGGGGAGTTTTCTGACTTCTTTTGAGAGTGGTACAGGGCCAGGACAGGGGTGAGCCTGCCTTAGCCCCACTGCACCACCACCACGGAGCCACCTGAAGTAAGCAGTGTCCAGCTGGAGCCAGCTCCCAAACCCTGCCCCAGTCATGAACTCCCTCCTGCATCCCAAGCCCCTGCCTGAGGCCCGAGCCCTCTGGACCCAAACTCCCTTACAGAGCCTGTACCCTGAACCCTCTTCTGTTCAGGCTCAGCTCAGAGCCCCCTCACACTGAAAATCCCTTAGCTCAACCCTCTGCCTATGCCTGGTGAAAGGGAGGGAAGATCAAGTGAGCAGGGTCAGGGCCTTGGAGAAGGGGCATGAAGGAGGTGGGGCCAGGGTATTTGGGTTTGAGGTAGATCTTACATTGCACTTAAAATTCAAAAAGTGATCTTGTGATTAAAAAGGTTGTAAACTAGTGCTTTATTCCAACATTGCTAGAACATTTAGCCACAGTCAAGCAGTGAAACTGACCTCTTCGCAATTCTGTTTAGTGACCTACAACAGCAGGACTAGAAGACTGATCCTTGTAGATGGCAGAGGGTTGTTCAGCTTGGATTTACTTGCTTCCAAGACTGTAGGTGAGAGAGATCTTTATCTGTCAGGTTCAAGAGGTCTGTCAATCTTGAACTCCATAAAAGATTAAAGCAAATGTGCAAACTTTTGTTTTTCAGTTAGCACATAACTTTCCTGGCATGATCATCTTCCTTTTCAACTCATTTTGATTTACATTCATGTGTCTCCATGAAAAAGCCCTCGGGCTGCAGCATCCTGTTGTACATTTATTACCTGCAAGCAGTGTAAATGAGTGGGCTTCAGCTACTCTTGGTTTTGTTTACACTTCAGAATATCATGACTGTCTGGATGGGATCAGGAAATTAGAAATATGATAACAGAATATTTTACTTATAAACTATTCATCCCAGGCTGATAGCAAATGGCTTGATATTGTTACCATCTGATGGCTCTTCATTGATCCATGTGAATTGAATTGAATTGGGAGATTCAGTTCAGTTCCTTCAATTAGCTCTTTTGATAGTTATCCCAAGAGTACCACTGATTGAATTGGCCACAGACACTGAATTCTTCTTTTGCTGGCAGATGTTGTCCCTTTGTTGCTGAGATACATTAGTGGGGCAGTGTGTCAAAATCTTCCATTGCTATATTGTTCATATTGCACCTATTTTGTAGAAAGAAGACTTCTGTTTCCATGGTTTTTTTTTTAATTTATTGCCTTCCATTAGCACTAAAAAAATTACAATTTAAAAATCTTAACAAAAATTATATCTAATATATAAAGGAGAATATTTGTATGTTTGTGCCCTGATAACTTGGGCACTATCAGAGTTACCGCAACCAAACTTTGCATGGGGTAACCTTTCATCTAGGAGAAGGTTTTAAGGTAATCTTGGCAGTACTGGGAGAAGCAGCTTCCCAGGGGAAGCAGAGGGGACAGTCACTCACTAAGGCTGGCAGCGGAGGGGCGAGGGGAGGGGCAGCGCTCCGAGCGGCAGCTGCCCCACTCGCCTCTACCAGGCCGTTCCACTGCACAGGCACCTCCAGAGCAGGGGAGCCCTCTCCTCCCTCCCACCCGTGATGTCACTCGGCCTGGGCCCCTCTCTCTGGTGGTGGCCGAGGGTTGCCGAGCGGCGGGCTGGAGTTTATTCTACACTAGTTACCATCTACATGTTTTGTTAGTCTATAAAGTGCTGCCAGACCATTTGTTGCTTTTTTTTAGTGGTATCTTAGACAACAGATCCAGTCAGTTGGGGAGAAGGTAGATAGGTGGTTTTTTGAAAGTGTTGTCCATTGTCTGAAAAACTGTAGGAGATGCTTTGAATGTAAGGAGAGGCTGATGGAATTCTTTTTTTTTTTTTTTTTTTTTGCTATAAACTTTTTCCATTTGTATTAATGTGAAAATGCTTCTTTAATCCTTTAAAGACAATATATATAATACCTGCTCTCATATTTTATTGTGCCATCTATTTTTCCGTACAAAAAAAGATATTTTGAGTAAATTTGCTAAGAGTAATAGGATATTATATATATCTAAGTAGGCAATTTTTCACATGCATTAAAACTTCATAAGGTAAGCTATGCTGAAAAAGAATGTAAGTAATTTATTATAAATTGTTTAGTTTGTGCTTTTATTTTGTGTTTTGTTTTTATTTTTAGTTAAAAGGGAAATGGATTTTCACAAGTATCAGTTCAACATAGTGAGATGCATCACATACTGTGAAAAATTCAATGTTTACTTTGTGTTGAGAAGAGACTATTCACTTACGGTAAAACCACCTACTATCTGCTCAGTTTATTTTTTTCAGTTGTTTTGATTTTGAATTTATATGTAAGCTTTGTTAGAAGTATAAACTAATTCTTATATGTAGGAGAAAGTCTCAAATCCTAACCAGGATTTAGGCAGCAAAGAGATAGTGCATAGTAATTACAGACTTTTAAGGATACTCTCCTCTTGCTGTTCAGTAGTCAAATAGAAGTTGCTTTTGGAAGTATACAAACCCATTCTACTCCCATCGTTTCCATCTCTCAAGCTGTTTATTCCTGTTCTGTAATACTTGTACATCTGCTATTTAAAATCAGGAGACAATGTTCAAGGTGTAAACTCAGTTCATCTGGGCAGCAAAGCCCAGCGTTATCATTGTGCCATAAGAACTGCTATGCTGGATCAGACTCAAGGTCATCTAGCTCAGTATTCTGTCTCCTAATAGTGGCTAATGCCAGGTGTTCCAGAAGGTAATCATAGAACATTAGAATTGGAAGGGTCCTTGAGAGGTCATCAAGTCCAGTCCCCTGCCCTCATGGAACCAGTACAGGTAGATATCAAGTGATCTATCCTCTGTTACCTATTCCTAGCTTCTGATAGAGGCTAGGGACACCATCCCTGCCCATCCTGGCAAAAGGATGGACCTATCCTCCATGAATTTATATAGCTCTTTTTTTAACCCTGTTATAGTCTTGACCATTACTACATCCTGTGGCAAGGAGTTCCATAGGTTGACTATATGTTGTGTGAAGAAGTACTTTTGTTGTTTGTTTTTGTTTATTTTAAACCCGCTACCTATTAATTTCATTTGGTGACTTCTAGTTCTTGAGTTATGGGAAGGAGTAAATAACTCTTCTTTATTCACTTTTTCTACACCAGCCATGATTTTATAGACTTTAATCATATTCCCCCTTAGTATCTCTTTTCCAAACTGAAAAATTCCAGGCGTATTAATCTCTCCTCATATAGCAGCTGTTACACACCCCTAATAATTTTGTTGCCCTTTTCTAAATTTTACCAATGCCAATATATCTTTTTTTAGATTAAACAAACGCATTTGCACACAATATTCAGGATATGGTTGTACCATGGATTTATACAGAGGCAATACAATATTCTCTGTCTTAATGATTCCCAATACTCTGTTTGCTTTTTTAGACTGCCACTGCACACTGAGTAATGTTTTCTGAGAACTATCCACAATGATTCTAAGATCTCTCTCTTGAGTGGTAACAGCTAATTTAGACACCATAATTTTGTTTCTTTCACCATAGTTACTAATTAATTCCATTGATGTTTAGTATGACGTAGTAAACATTGCAAGAAAACAACAATCCCTTGAAGAAAGAATGGCTGATTTTTGCATCCACTCTTAGTATGGAAAGCAGTACAAGAACTATGGCAAGAGAAATTTGTTTTTTATCACTTTGTGTGATTAATGTATTTAGCTTAGATTAATCAATGTATCTAATCTATTTTAGGTATTTTAGGATTCATGTCATCATAGTAGCTGAAAATGAATGGATGAGCCATATATTGGTAGAAATACAGCTTAACTTACCCCTAAGTTCCTGTCTCTGTTAATCATATATCTCTAATTGTTTGCTACTGTAAAGTTTACAAATAGGATTGATAATTTTTCCCTGCAAGTTGTGAATTCACCCTTGGGGATGATTTGTATTTCTCTGTTTATAATTTCATTTAAAAAATTCAAATAAATACTCTGTTAATGAGGACAAAGTTTCTGAAAAAAAATGTACAATATATTTTGGGAAATTATATGTTTGCTCTCAAAGGCTGTTAGTCTCAAAGGAGATGACTTCCATACTTCAGTGCTTTGCGCGATCTGGGACTTAATCACCCACAGCCTTTTTGGCGTGATTTGTGATCATCACTTTTCTTTTCATAAGGTGTCTAATAAGGATTATGAAGAGATTTGCTCAGTAGAGAATGTGGAGTCACATTTCATGACATTTATGGTATTCAATCCTGTGAGTGATGAACTCATTACTGGAGGAATCAAAGGAGTAAAGGTAAGGGAATATCGCAGATGGGGTTTGAGTTGACTTATGTAACATTTTGAAAGCACAAGTATGACTTTAGTGTAGGGCAAAGTGAGACTGTATGCCTTGGTGGACAAATCAAGGGAACTTTCACATTTAATTCACTGATTGAGCCCAGCATGATCAGTAGTGACTGAAGGATGTTACCATCTGATGGCTGCTTTGTTGTGCTGATTAGTTTTTTTTAGTAATCAGATATTCAGATCCCAAAAACACTATCATAACTTGGTGGTAGTCTCAGCAGAGAGACCAAGGGCCTATATATATATATATATATATATATATAGACAGAACTGTCAATGCAGAACCTTTCAGCACTGTATTTACTTTGAAAAGAAAATGAGAAAATATTGTGGATTGGCTGCTTTATTTAGTTTCACTTATAGCTGAGTTGTCATGATGAACAAAGATCATCAGTTGAGAAGCATTTTTAGGTGATGAAATTGTGTCATGATCATCATTTAGTTTTTTTTCTGTCAAAACAAATTAAAAGTTTGATAAATGTTTTCTCATGAAAGCTGCTCTTACTTTAGGTTTATGTGTTCTGAAGCATTCAGCTGGGTAAGTATGGAAGTAATGGGTGAACATAATGGCTTGTTGAAAGTTTTTACACTTGTCATTCAGATTTCTAGTTCTAGACTCAAGTACCAAATCAAGCTTGCAAAATTATCTTTGTATTCCTTTTTTCTTTTAGATTTGGAAGTTTAAAGAAACAGAAAATACAGATTACTCTGGTGCAGTTCACATGTCCAATTACAAACTTTTCCCCAGGTAAACAAATTGTAATTATTTGAGTTTATCAAGTGAATATGTGCACAGGTTCTCACTAAGGATGTTAAAGAGCAGTTATGTGGATAATCATGTTGTTAATACAATTTGTATCGACTCTTACTACGTTTAAAATGCAGAGGGGCATTGGTCCTGGACAAACCGGGTCCATCAGCCCCTGTTTGTGGTGGCCTGCAGCGAGCCTCAGGGCAGCATGAGTAGAGGCTGCTTTGCAGCAGCCTCCTCTATCCCCAACTGGGGGAGGAGGCAGGTGGCACCATGGAGATGGTGCTGAGGGTAACCAGCTTTTACGTTGGCTCCCTCCAGCACCGGCTCCTGTTCCCCCCTCCTTGCTGCCTTTCATACAAAGGTGGGGGGGGGGAGAAGGGAGGCAGCGGGGGGAATGAGTAGTTGACTACTCACTTACATCCCTTGTTCTCACAACCAGTAGTGGGTTGTTTGTTTTGGGTTTTTTTGACCTCAGAACATAGCCACCAACTCTCACTGGTAACCATACTAACTCTTTTTCCTAAAATTCTTAAATTAACATAGAAAAAAATAAATATGCACACATACAGATCCAATTGTTGTAACTAATTTATGTAGGTTTTGTGTATTTGGGGTTTTTTGCTGATTCAGTAATAAAAATAATGCTGTGAAAAGTGATATTTATATATTTGTTAATATAATTTTTCACAACAAACTTACTAGGTGGATGGGAGATTGTGAAAAGTGATGTTGAGAAACACACAAAAATAACTTTTCACAGCTTCCAAGCTATCTTATAGGTCTGCTGTGAAAAGTGATACTTGGATGTTTTTAATATCACTGTTTTCATTAGCTCCAGGGAAAACTACTGTATATCTTTGTTGAGAATGCTTTTATTATGAATGATTGTACACAGGGGCATTGTGCAGGGGCACAGGGTCACATGCCTCCAAATGCCATGTGTGGGAGGGAGCAGCCAGTGGATGGAGTAGTAGAGAGGCTCTGTTCCTCAGCAGGGGTCATCCCTTTCCCCACTCACTCACTCTGCTCTTCTGGCCATGTCACTCAGGGGAGGGATTTGGGACCACCCTTTTACTCACCAGCGGAAAGTAGAGCAATGTGGCCAGAGGAGCAGAGCAAGCTGGGGCTGCATCGCTCCACTTCCACCACCCCATTATTCTCCTGGGCCACTTCAGCTAGAGAAAAATCAGGGTCCAGAAGCTGGGAGAGGGCAGAGGAGAGGTGGGGAGAAGTATGGCTTGGGGCGGGGGAAGGGATTTGGGACCACCCTTTTACTCACCAGCGGAAAGTAGAGCAATGTGGCCAGAGGAGCAGAGCAAGCTGGGGCTGCATCGCTCCACTTCCACCACCCCATTATTCTCCTGGGCCACTTCAGCTAGAGAAAAATCAGGGTCCAGAAGCTGGGAGAGGGCAGAGGAGAGGTGGGGAGAAGTATGGCTTGGGGCGGGGGATTATCTCCGCCCTTCCCCAGGTTGACAGGGTCACATGACCAGTGCAAACGCCCCCCCCC